GTTATCCTGCGCCCGCGTTCTCATTCAGTTTGCATCGGGTAGCTTGTACGTGTATGTACAAGAGGGTTAGGAGTGAGGGCGACGATGTCCGGCAGAGTTAAGGGCCAGGAGCGAATCTGCACGTGCTGTAGGCACACGGCGCCACGACCGAGTTAACTGTGGGCGTAAGGCCATGTTGACGGGTAATTGTCACGGACAGAGTTCCGACGGTCAGCCGCATCACGCGTGGCTGTAATTTCTGCGGTAAAGCAGTGTTCGAAACCGGAAAAGGTTGCCGGAGTGTTTTAATATTAGCAATTCATTTGTAACTTGTAACATAATCTTTGAATATATTATTTTTATTTTGTTATTGAAATTTATTTCTATTTCACTACGTCACACTCCAAGTCGTACGCTCTCCAATCATCTCTACATTCGGAGAACATTGCCTGCTTCCGGCCGTTCCCGTGAAACGCACTATTAGCATACGATCTGGTGCTGCGCTTTGTCGCTTTGTTTTTGTGAAAGTCTTAAGATTTTTCGATCTACTGAAAACATTTTTGGTTCACTTACAACTGAAGAGGAGATTTTGACCGGGACTAAAAAGTTTGGCTTTCGATCGTAATGTAAGTATTGTTCTGAGAGTGTGTTTGCTAACTTACATTCAAATGATTCTGAGTCACTGGGAGTTAGAATGGAACTGATTGTGTATAATAAAATTGCGACTTTCCTCCATGCAAATTAAAGTCGATTGCGAATTTAATTCAATTTTCTGTTTATCTAAATTAATATGCTTGGCGCCGGCATTGACAAAAGAAAGTTTTTCTGCTTTACAAATATTTCATAATAATAGCAGGTAAACATAAGGAGAAGAGCGAACGTGCAACTTGTTACTTGTATCAAATGAGAAAGAGCTCTGGTAATTCACAGGGAAAAAAAGGAATATCTGTAAGCGTCATTCTCAAATTTGCCCCTATAACAGGACAGCTCGAGTCTCTCTGTATTTTGTAAGATGTTTAGGAGTATTTAGAAATGTTTATCTTATAAACATTTCACGAGTGTGGCCACAGAGTCCACTTTGACTAACACACGTTTATAAAAAAAGCAGAAAAAACAACACAGAATTACATTATATACAATAAAGAGAAAACTATATTTACCATTTTTTTAAGAATATAAATAACAAGTTACTGATGTTAAAGTAAATTATATAATTACAATGAAATACTAGCACTCAATATAAAATACTCGTAACATCTGTAGACACGCCATTTTGAACAACAAAAGATCATTACAACATTAAACCAAATAGATAAATAAATATGTACATGAACCCGTGAAAACCCACTTCAAGTATGGCAGTTACAATAAGACGGTTAGAATAGACAGTGGGCTGAGTCCGTTGTGATGTAGTTAGAGAAGGGGTAGGGGAGGGGGCTTCAAAATATAGTTAAATGAAACTGAGTACAAACTGACAAATTTTCTAGGGTTCCAAAAATGCATCAGAAGAAATGTTAATGTTTAAATGACATGTTTCACTCAATTAAAAAGGCCGGAAATAAAACAACTGTGGCAAGCAAACATATACAGAATTATTTCTCTAAAATGTTCGACAAAAGTGAGTTATAAATTTACGAGAAAGTATTTGATTCCACTTGGTGTTGAGACAATTATATGTTTTAATATGAAACGTTATTATTCTAGATTGGTTCTGGAAACGATTCATATAGAAACATTTTTTATATGAATATAAAGAATAAAACAAAGGAAATAAATAATGTATTTAACAAATTCAGTAACTAAGCAAGATGTCACAGTTATATTCTTAAACAGCAACTCGCAGAAGGCTCACGACCACACCACTGCTTCATGTAAAAAGCAGTCACTTCGTCGTCAATCTTCGCTCTTCCCTTCACCTCTCCTCCAATCCTCCTCACCCACTCCTCGAATCATCTCTTCTCTCGTCGCCTCTCCTCTCCTCCCTGGCCCGCCCTTCTCCCCGTAATTTAAACCCATATTACGCGCGATTTTTAACTAAAAATCGTCCACGTAGGCAGGAAAGGTCGCGCCGCATTTCATATTCCGGTGGCCGCAGCGTGAGGCATTCGCCGCGCTCCCTTCCGGGAATCAGCGCAGCGGAGGCAGTAAATCACGCTACGAGGGTGCCCGGCGCATGCGACGGCAAGAGCGGGAGCAGGAATGCTGCCGTGGGCTCGCTGCCGCGTGGGCGGTCGGAGAGCCCGAGGTCGAGAGAAAAGGGCGATGAAAGCACGAGTGATGCTGTTGGTCAGAGAGTAACCATCGCAAGAGGTTGCCGTTTTCAGGATAGTATCGATCAATAAGATGAAATAGATATGTACCAGAAGGAGTGTAGGTAGCAGAGAAATGTTGGAACTCGTATATCGAGAGAAAGACAACTGTCAATTTGAGGGTTGATACACCTCTGCATTTCTATTCAAGGACCTACGAATCCCAGAGGTACCTAACAGGTTGCAAGCGGTACTCAATCACATGATCCTTTCCGCTGGTATGCAACGCTCGAATTAAAGCCTAGAGAGCTTAAATGTCTCGACAGGTCGGTGGACATTGGATCTAGATCTACAAATACTACAAGTCCACTATGACCCTGTGTATCCAGTAATTCTCGCTTTAATTGGAGATCACGATATTTCGGTATTTTTTGATATCGTTTCGGTCCACACTGGAATTTCTCGGAATGGTCAACTAACTCTCCAAACCTACTTATTTTCAAAGACGGTGAGATCAAATAGATCCATATGGTCTGCCTGGATATTGAAATGCGAGATATTTTCATAGTGGGGTTTTCCACCATCATGCTTGTGCATCGGCAATCTATCAGTTGCCTGAGAAGTATACTTTCTACACTAATTTGAGGATAGCATGGTGAGCACTCTTCCATGACACTTTTTAATGCTTGTAAAATCAAGCGACATACACTATTTATGTAAATGACGGTTTCATTTTATTGTTTTCAGTCTGCACTTGCAGTCTCGATAGTTTTATCTACTTTTGACTGTATGGCCTCCGTAGTCTTTGGTATCTCGTTCTTGGGCATCTGCGGCCAAACCTTCGCATGCCATAAAATGTCATGCGCATGTCATAAAATGCCATGCGCTTATCATAAAATGCTGTCAAATAGTGCCACAAGCTTCACCGTCGCTTCTTTTGACTGAATTGGGTGCTCCATTGCGCATCATCCGCAACGCCCCACCTTTATTTCCACCGCGGGCCGGAGGAGCAGCGCTTGCAACCAAGCCGCAGAAGCGCTCAGTCAGCGCAAGGTTAATTCTGCGGAGGGCTCGAGGGCGCAGGGCGACGGCGGCGGCGGCGGTGGGGGTGGGTTTTTATGCCCCGTCGAGCGCCGCGCCCGTAATGAGGGGCGCCCTCTCTGTAAGAAGGGGACAACGGTTGTCGCCTAGTCGTTGCTGTCGTTACTGCCCCGGCCTTGGCCGTGAAGGAAATAAAATAGATGAAGCATACCGACGACACGCAGGAATCGAAACAATTCATCCAAAGTGAAAGTTTGGCGAGCATCACGTGATATTTGACACTAACATTTAAACTTTTTTTTATTGAATTTTGTTTTCTAATGATACGTTCAGCCGCAAGGTTCTTCAGTTGATCGGCCGAGTAATTTTAACCAGCAAAATGTGAAAAGGTAACTTGTCACCTCCCTGATTAACTTCAACCGAGGTTATTGAGAGAATAATTTTGGAAATATAGTTGAAGGGTGATGACAGGGATTTTGAAAATAATGGGGTTTAGAAAAGAATACGGTAGGTGAGATACGCAATAAATGTAAAGAGTCGAATCTACATGGCAAGAATTTAAGCGTATGTTCGGTTAGTTATCGTGGTTCACTGTGTTACATTAAAAAGAAATAACATCGAAGTATCTCGTAAAAATAATGGTTTCATCTAATATTCTCTTGGATCCTATATGTGATATATTTACTCCACCTCGCCAATTGGATTGTGAAATAATTTGAAATCTGTTTCTTTACATTAGGTAAATAAAACCACTAATTTTCACGTTATTAATATTTCAAACACTTATTGAAATGCTCAGTCAAAATGTTTTTTCTGTAAAGAGTGCAGTATATCGCACGTGAAAATACGTAATCATGTGCGGAAAATAGTGGAAACTCAAGTCATTTCACGAAATTGTTCCTCTAACTGTATTTTTATTTTCATTCGATGGCGTCTCTAATTTAAAACTTAATTTAATTATATATTGTATTACATTTTTATTACATTTTCTATGAGGAAATATAACATGCCGCCAGAGGCAAGTGACGTCAGCCATCCATTCCCCGATCTCATGCGCGGTATCTCTCCGGCGTGGCCTTGACTGCGTCGCGCGCCGCAGACGCTCGCTTATCCGCGCCGCCTGAGTTACGGGAGGTGCAAATGCGCCGGGCGGCCGTTGGGGCACGCGCGTGCGTGATATACTGCTCGCGCGCCCGCGCTGCGCACTCGCAGGCCTTCCGCGCGCTCGGCATCTGCGCGTCTTGTTTTCGGGGCAATAGGCGCTCTCGCCGCTGTTACCACGTTCTCTCCGTTGCTGAATTGAATGGGAAACGAAGTTTACATGGCGTGTGATCGTCTTTCAGCGGCGCTATAGATTTAACAGAGCTTTGCCTCGACGTACATGTACTCGCAAAACTGCCAATCAACACTCTTTACTCTTCACGTTATTTAATAAATTATCACTCTTCACAGGAACTTGTGAAATGTACTAATGTTCTAAAACGTTATTTAATGAAAAATGTCTAACACTTTAATATCCACACACTTCATAGAAATGAAAAAGAGAAATTAATTACGTTTACGTATTATATGTTCACGTTACATATTAATTACATATTAATTATGAATTACCTGGTGGGTGCAAGGTTTTTTATAAACATTCGCCTGTAGATCCCATCGAACGACCGTTGCTTTGGAGGTGTGTCGTCGGCAGAGCTTGTGTCCTCGATGCGCAGGGTGGTTGCTCGTAACTGCTGCCCCATCACTCTGGTTGACGCGGCCGAAACAGAAAGTGAACGGCAGCGCGGCAGCGATTAGAACATCGACCTGGAAGTTGGCCACAATCTGGTTGGCCTGGGTTTTACGTGGCACCTTAAACTCGCGCGGAGGCTAAACGCTCGCTCGCTAGCTAGATAAAAAGCATTTTCGACCTGGATGTATTCCAGCGCTGAGGCCGTGGAGAAGTATTAAAACTATTGAAGAGCGCCACATCAACTACGTTTTCCTTTTGCTGTTTCCCAAAAATGTTATACCTGATTATTTCTTATCATTCATTTCATATTAATTGCTAATAAAATCAGCACTCTTCTAACCCAACTTCATGCTTAGTGTTAACAACTTCAGCTCTCGTGTAATTATATAATTCTAGAACAGCATGGTAAATAAGGAGAAAAAACATACATATCAATATTAATATTCAATAATAATATAAATTCTAAATTAAAAACTTATTGTTATATTTTGCCTTGTACCAACAATAAAGCTACTTGAGCTGATTGACAATGCGTTTCTGATACAAGTTTCTAATGATTTCAGTTCGGTCAAAAAATATTGGGGGTAATATTTCTATTAAATCACATTCACTTGAATTTCTTTGCTTCATTTTAAAAGTTTTAAGAACTGGAAAGCCAATTTCACTAATACAATACGTGCAAATCATGCTAAGGACCTCAAGGAGAAACCCCTGATCCTACACCGCCCAGCCTCACCCCTGCGCTCTTCCACCCGCGCCGCCCCCAAGCCTCCTCCTCCCCGTCCCCGCACCGCACCGAAACGTTTCCCAGGCCCACCGGCAAAGGTGTCAACTCGTCTCGGTCCAAGAGGTCCTAGGGTTCGACTTCCTCATCGCCACCTCCTGCGATTGAAACATGCACACTTACGGAACCAAGCAGTCTTTCGCAGGCGACGCGCCCGCAATCACCAAACAATCAGCGGCGGCGATGGTGTAACGGTTAGCGTACCGGTTGTACCCGCGGGTTCAAACCCGATCGAAGCCGTGGGTTTTTAAGGGCGAAAAAATCCTTCGTTCGCCTTCCTTCGGAGGGGAAGTAAATCCGGCTGTCCCATGTTAGTAGATTTACTTGCATGTAAAAGATCCTCAAGCCTAAATGACGCCTCTGAGCTAAATTCAAATCGCCTGTTTCTCGCCCAAGAAATACCTCCTTTCTCCGCTAGTTGATGAAAGGAGCGTAGTGAAATTGAGTGACGGACGGACGGACGGACGGACGAGACGGACGAGCAGGCCTGATGGCCTGAGTCTCGCCACGTAAAATCAGTCAAATTCAATTCAATTCAATTCGATTCAACCAGTGGATGGCCTGGCGTCAACCCGCGTGTCCCCTCGTTGCCCATCAATGCTCATGTCGCGCCGCCTCGTCCGACGCGTTGCCCTCGAAGACGGTTCCACATTGTCACTGTAAAATTTAAGATGCTCTCTCGAAGGTCATCTATATGACAGTTGTGAAATTCTAGAGCCGAATGATTGGCACTGAAAGTGACAAAATTACTACCAAGAGAGCGAAGGCAAAATACAAATCCGAAACCCCGTGACAGCTAGATCTGAACGAGTAAAAGCAATATCTGTTGGCACATCTGCGGGCAGAACATATTGTGCACCATATATTGGCGTCTTTGCAAAGTATGTGGTCTAATTTTTCTTTTTTTAAATTCTAATTAGTAGAAACGCCGTAATATCTGAAGACTAAGACGCTCGTAACATGAAACATTGTGTTTCAAGAAAAATGGACATTACTGCAGTAAATTATCAGTTTTGTTTTCATTTTAACGCAGTTGTACTTAAAGATGCATCCCTTCAGCATGGACTAATTAGGTTCGTTATTTCATATTTACAAAGAAAATTATTGAAAACATGACTGTCAGATTCGAAATTTTTTTTTTTGAAAAGCATCCCAATTAACATTTGACATTTTCCATCCCTTGCAACACTGAAACAATACATTTCAATGTCAATCCACGACCGTCAAACCACGTCACATACAGTTGTTATAGTTCTTTCACGATAGATAGATTAAATAAATAAATAAATAAATAAATAAATAAATAAATAAATAAATAAATAAATAAATAAATAAAATAAAAAGATAAATAAATAAATAAATAAATAAATAAATAAATAGAATAAATAAATAAATAAATAAATAAATAAATAAATAAATAAATAAATAAATAAATAAATAAATAAATAAATAAATAAATAAATAAATAAATAAAGAATAAATAAAAAATAAATAAGAAAAATAAATAAATAATATAAAGTAAATAAATAAATAAATAAATGAAATAAATAAATAAATAAATAAATAAGGTAAATAAATTAGAAAAATAAATAAAATAAATAAATAAAGATAATCTGGAGCATTGAAGTACGGAACATCTCTACCGCTTCTTAAGAAGGTGCCAGTTCTTACTTTAGAGGAACACTTGAAGTGCGGAGCCGTGCCATTTTTCACTTCCACATCCAACAGTGTGCACGGTCCGCACATTTCCTCGGCGACGTCGTTAACATGCGCCACACGAAGACCGGATTGAAATCGCAATGAGGGCAGAGGAGACAAAAAGAAAAAGGCGGCGATCGAGTAGGCAGGCAAGGATGTCATCAAGGCGCAATTCGGTGGGCCATTTAAATCGGGTGAGCGGAGGTGCGGGGGTGGGGAGGGGAGGGGAGGGAGTAGTGGGGAAGACACGCGCCGGCGGATGGCTCGAGCGGCGCATGTGTTGCGCGTGACAGGACACAGTGCGACATCTGCCTAATCTAGGTGGACAATTGCAGGTCGTTAAATCCTGAAATAATTATCATTTTAGGGAAAACATCGACATCACAAGGTATGTTACATTTCTTTCCAAATTACTACAATTTATTAAATTGTATGTGCCTTTCGGCAGATGAGACAGACATAATTTCGACATTCTTTACTTTACAGGTCATCTTTTACATTATACACGTAAGACGGATTTGAAATTAGTACTAGGGATAGGAAAGGACTACGAACCTAGTACCAGGAAGTGTTAGTTGGTCGAGAAGTGACTTGAAGTTACTTTTACCTGTACTCGAGGGTATTCGCGCGCATGCTAATAGATGAATTGGGTTCTAAAATAAAAGATATTTAGTTCATCAGTCAGGCATCGAAATGCTAAGATGTTAATACTAAGTTGTGTTTTTCAAACAACTTTTTTCATAATGACAAGCGTTTAAAACAACAGAGTGATGGAAATAACGCCATTATCCCACGGAAACGTCTTTGGCGAACGTTAGAAAATGAGGATATCGGAGACTGAACCAGGAGATGAAAAGACTCAAGGTGTGGACTTCGCAACCAACGCTAACAGAGCATGGAACATGATCGAGATATTTTTTTGAAAACGACACTATTTCTCCGAATAGAAAATGATATTATTTCATTAAAAACTGTAGTCTATATTTATGCTTCTGCAAGAAAATGTGATATATGTGAACATTATTCATCTTTATGAATTTATTTTCGCTAAAGCAAACTCGTTATTTAAGATCGCTACGGTAAAAATGGCACTTGAAAATCACGAATAGTTCATAAGGTATACGAAAGGCTCTATTTAATTAATTACAATCAAAACTAGAGGTCTTCTCTACAGCAGCGAAAAATCTGCTCAACGAAATCCCACAAAATCCGTTTAAAAAAAGGAGCACGTTCACTGTTCAGGAATAACAAATAAAATAGTCTTACATAACATTGCAAAAAATAAAATATTTTAACAGAAACAGTCTTTAGGAATATTTCAATAACGCAGCGTAGTATACACAGATATGGACTATAACTCTTCGTCACACACCCAGAAAAAAGTTGGTGTTCCATAACGCAACACCTGAATAGCAAATGTTTAATGTCGGATAGATTCCTTGGTGGAGCCTCGTTGTCACAGGACGTCAGCAATTTCCAGTCAAAATCGAATCTCTTTCGTTGGTTTGGTCTCACCCCGAGTTTCTGAACGAAATCATAAACACTTCTCACATGGTCGGAAGCTGCATAGTTTTGTTTCAATATCTGAGCGCATTGGAAATTTGTAATTTTTGGGACAGTATAGTTCGTTGCATGACTGGTCACTGATGGCAGAAATTGAGCAACGAACTTCCTCATTATTTTTACTACAGGTCGTGAAATACGCTAGTACTAACACAAATAAAATAATATTGTTATAAATAATGTAATAATATTGTTGTTTGTTAGCGCCTTTCTCAGCGTGACAGTTTCGTTGTCACCGCGAGGACGACAGCGCCTCACCCGCGCCGCGCCGCGCCGCGCCTTCCTCCCTGAGCGCGTGCATTATCATGCCTCCCGCGTCGCGATTTATGCCTCGGTTTTTGCGGCCGCGAGGGCCGCCAGGTGCCCGCCCGCGCCACCGCGCGTCCGCCACCGCGCGTCCGCCTCCGACGCGTCGCGCGCGCGCGCTCGCGGGCGATGGATTTATGTGCGTCGCCCGCACGTTCGCCTTTTTGCACGCGCGCCCGCGTTCTCTGACGCGCCGCGGCGGTGGCAGCGCGCGGCCTGAACGGTGGCTGGGATAGGAGGCCAGAGGTTGCGACGTTTGAAATGTTGCGAGGATATGCTGGAGTTGTTTTCGGGTGGCGTCGAGGTGGCAGTGATGCCACCGCGGACTGGGGAAGGGGCAGGGGGGCAGTGGCGGAGGCGGGAACGGTGGCGGGGACGGTGCCGGGGCGAGTATGGAAATGGTGACAGAAATATTCGGGGGCTGGGGTGCGTTGATAAAGATCAAAAGAAGAAGAAGAAGAAGAATGAAAAGAACATAAAGTTTTTTGTGACTGGTGCCTTATTTTTAGTGGCTTTCTGATCCCAAATCTAAAATATTGAAGCCAGTTGGTCATCAAGGCTTATTTTTATGCGTCCCTGTAAAGAATAACACAATGCGAGAATATGTATTACCTGTTCTTGCGAATCTGGGTTATCTTGAAAGTTCCATCGTAGAAGTTAAATAGCAGTATGGAACAATATATTTTTGAATGACTAAATAGTCTTTTGATTTGGAGGAAGAAATTCCACTTGCACCCCTTTCACAATGACACAGATAAATTCATCAATATTCTCGTCAATTAATTTAAAAATTCTTTAAAGTATTTCTAATGAATCACGGCTGATAGACTAAGAAATTTCGAGAAAACATTAACTGTGCAGCTAAAATGAAATTTACTTAAACAACCTGCTCATACCCACAAGTTTTTTTAATCTTTTTTTTATATAGCGCATACATAGATCAGAATTTATAACATTATACATGTCTACTTATGTCGTGAAGGCTTACATTCTAATTTTCCTAAAAAAAATACATTCTAGTTTTGGTGAGGAATTTTTTTGCAATCTCCTCTAAAAACAATTTGTTTCGGAAAACTTGACTAGGTATGTCTCGTATGGATAACTATTTTCAATTCTGGTTCTCTGGGAAGGAATTTTCCGGAGTCTGAAGTTGGCTACGTGAGGAATTTGAGCTACGGAGTGATAGAACAGGGTGTAATGATACGTTATGAGTTGTATGGAGACCATTTGAAATTCTTTGTGGAACTGTGAGTTTGTAACTAACCAAGGAGTTGTGTTCTAGGAATCTAGTTCTGTTCTATATGAAGCTTGTTAAGTTTATTATTTTTCCCGAGGAGATCCAAACTCGGCAGGCATGTAGGAGGAGCAGTCTAATGATGGTTCTGTAGATGGATATGGGAGTTGGGAAGATCGATTATTGATGGGTTTTAGTTGATGTAGTTTATTTTTTGCTTGTATTTTAATGTTGATGTGTTGGCTCCAGTTCAGTTTAGTGTCTATATTAGGCGCGAGATATTTTACAGTACAATTTGAAATGGGTTCATTATTTACTGTGAGCAGTGCTGGAGGTGGATAGAGTCTTAAAGTGAAATTTTATAGCCATTTTTGTGGGTTTAAGTTGCTTTTTAAATATGCGGCCCAACTGTCTATAAGATCGAGATACAATTGAAGACAGTGTCTGATATCTACGGCTAGGAAAATTGGATATCGAATCTACGGCTAGGAAAATTGCCGTGTCATTCTCGAATTGGATCGTTTGAATGTTGTATAATTTGCAAAAGTCAGAAACGTATACTCTAAAAAGTTTAGGGTATAGTGGTGACCCCTGTGGCAAGCCTGAACGTATTGGCCTCGGATTTGAATGATGACTGTTGACGAAGACTGAAAACGTTCTATTGTTAAGGTAGGTGGATATTATTTGAGTGAGATAATGTTTGGTACCTATCTTTGTTAGTTTACAGTTCATTGCTTTTTATTTTGAAAGCCTTTATGGATGTATTCCTACAATCGCAAAAGTTGATGATTGGTAGAAAGTTTCTCGGTGAAGCCAAATTCCTGTTGTCCGCCAATTTCTTTTGTCTGCAACAGAGATGCTTTTAAGAATGTAAGGATAGCTTTTTTGAATGTTTTTGCAGGGTACGGAGTAAACTGATAGAATTACTACAAGTGATTACCATCCTTTTTCTTGAGACGTCCTACGTCGCCCTCACAGAAAACCCACGGAGAATGAGCAGGCGACCAACTTGCCAACGGTGGCAGGTTGAAACTAAAGCAATTTAAAGCTTTTCCATAATTAATGAACAATTACGTTCAACTTATTACCACAATCAACCAGTGATACCATTCGGCGTCATTATAAGAAGCATGTTGATACTGTTTCTTGAACGAAAAATCATTATTTCCTCTTTCTTAGACCGTAGTGGCTTAGTTCTCCGACATAGACGACGAAAACGATACAAACTTTGACAACTTGACTCTAACAAACAAGCAAGGCGTAGATAAAAACCAATAACTCGCTGATGCAACCAACTTATCGCCGACCAGCCGGGGGTAATGTTTACGACATCTTCAACCCATTTCCTTCCTCATCAATTTTCTTTCCACTGCTCTGCATGAGATCAGCGGCATGAGCGCAAACGACACAAACAAACGGTGGCATGCACCGCGCCGCACCTCTTTCTTGCTGTGCGGTTTTTCTCTGCCATCCTCGCGACTGCCAGTCTCGCCTCGCTTGGCGACGCGCTGCCGACGCGCGCGGGGGAGTGGGTGGGCGTGCATGTTTGGAAAGTTTCCGGTCGACTGCTTGCGATTCTGACTCGTCGTGACTTATGATGATAGATCGCATTTCGATTGAATATTCTGATTAGGCGCGGATGTACGAGTGGGATGCGCCATCGCAGTGTTTGAGATGTCAGATGGCTGTGGGAGATCAGGGAATGCGCTGCGGAGAAAAGATGGTCACGTGCTCGGAAGGGAAATGCAAGTAAGAGTATTTGCATAGGTGAAGGGCAGGAGAAACTTGCTTCATGGTTCTATAAAATGAAACCAATACCTGTTTTACTTTTCTGAAGAGTGAACAAGTCAAAAACAGCAGAAAGCATGTTTTTTTCGATAACATCGTTTAAAGAAATAAACTTACGTTTATGATTTTAGATTCCTACTGAATTTTAATTTAATAGTATTCTGTAGAGAATTATTTACATATAAAAGAAATTATAAAGGTCAGATTAGAAACTGCACTCCGTACCATGTAGTGAAAGGAACCTAAAGGGGCGAGAATTCCATAGTATGTT